ATCTCTTCGGCCATGCTGGCATTTCCACCCATCTAGTTCCGGTCAGATGAAGAGGTGCGGAGACAAAAGATGACCTTGGGCTTGTAGAAAGGAATGACAACAACACATTCCACAATTCTACTCCTTTCTATTCCCCCTCCCAATTACTACACTAATGAAACAGCATAATGAAATAATAGAGAGTGTGACAGGCCAAAGATCTTAAAAAGGAATATAACTGCAGGCCTGACACATTGTAGATCCTCTGACAACATAGCACCAGAGCTAGTATTCTATCGGTTTGGTCCGGTTTGCCCAAACTGGTAGTGGAAATCGTGGGTGCCTCCCCCCCGCCTCAGCGCTACGGCATCCCATTTAGGCCCTTTTTTCACCAAAAGCATATGCACGCTCACATTTGCGAACTGATAGGGAAGGTAAGTGAATACCACTCCTGCATAGTACCTCTATATTGTACATCCAAGGAGACTGGAGAAAGCCACAGAGATGAGTTTGAGGGAAATATTCAGAAGCCAGTATGAGAGCCACCAAGAAGAAGAAGACTTGGGAAGCATGGTGTTAGGAAGAGACCCATGTTAGCTTCTTCCTAACTCACTGAGATGTAAGAGAGAGGGGAGGGAAAAAAGAAAGTCGCAGGATTCTGCAATCATGGCTTACCATAAGACAGTTTAATTCTAGGTTTCTTGTGGAATCTTGGTCTGGATAACCTTAAAGGGCTGGCAAAATTTAGCTTTTAATTATTATTTTTTTTACTCAACTCTTAAGAATTGTTCTCCAAACAATTTTAGCATAATTTTAACTTTAATAAATGAATTTTTTTAAAACTGCAGAATCTTCTCTCCCGTCTCATCCAGATTCAATTGGAAGCCACTGTGGGTTTTTAAACAAAGCAGGCTTAAAACAATGCATTAATGTAGTGCGTTTACTTGGCCTGTAGATATGTCTGCTTTTATAGGTAGGTCTATTATTGCACAGATATACCTGAAATCATGACGTTAATGAATAAAACCCATTAATGAAATTAACTGCAAAGCCTCGTATAGAATCAGAGCTTGTTAAAATTTACCTGCTTTGCGAGGCATCTGTTTTTCTTCCAATGTTACAGCCAGCCTCTTCCTACTTCCTTACAAGCCTTTAACATTTTATAGGTTTGATTGTTAGTTTCTTGCTGCTTCTTGTAAGGTGAATTCTGTGGCAGCCAAGGCAAGATTGATCTTGTAGGTAGGCTTCGGTGGCGCTGTTCCACAGAGGCAAAGAAAAATGTCAGGCAATACACTCCCCATAATATCAGTTAAAAGCTGGCTAGGATAGTGATCAAAAATGTCAAAAATTTGCAGAATACCTAAGTTGATGCTGCTGGCATGCGATCTCCCCACCAGCACAAAAGAGGAACAATTCCTTACATATTTATTTGTAACTAGCTGATAACCTGGAGTTGCCTGGGTATTTATTTATAGGGGGAAAATGTCCAGACCAAACATAATTTCTAATGTTGGATTTTTCCCCCTTGCCAGAGGATGCCCCCTTGTGGAGTACTGTGAAGCCATTACCATGGCAACTCCACTGCACTGTACAGTAGAAGCCATTTTACGGCAGTACAGTAGAAGCCATTTTACGGCACAACAGGCTGTATCATAAGAGAACACACACCACCGAGGTGTGTTAGGGGTGTCTTACCCTCACAGAATTTGTTTCCAGAGAATAAGTCATCTGTGTACCAAGTTTCATTGAAATTGCTGCAGGCGGTCCAGAGATATTCTG